ACCAGGCAATATTATCGTTTATCGCAATAAATTTTGAGACAATTAATCGCCCAGCAAAATTTGTTATCGTGACAGGCCTAGTGACAAACAACTAAAACTCCATTAGGTTCTGTTCATTTAACAGTAGAAAGACATTCTGTGCTCCAACAATGTGGAAACAAACGACACACACAATACGTCCCACTTTTCATGCACTTCTTTAATATATCAGTTTTTCATATTCACAACAAATACATGAAGCTTTCTCCTTATGGTACAGCCATAAATATTTTTACACTAAAACCATTTGTCTCTTCAAAATGTCTCTGCCGGTATTTTGCGCATTTCGACATTCTGTTACATTTGTTTTTTTCCATGCCTCAGAGCAATCGGACAGTATTTCCTTTGTACAAATATTTACAGGTGAAAAAAACAAAAAACAAACCTTCATAAAGTTTGAAGTGTTGAAAGGAACTGTTAGGGTTTAAGGTGCAGGCAAGGAGAAGAGAGGGAACAGAGCTGGAACAGGAAGCGATGTGGGAGGAGTGATAAGACACTCGCAGACAACTTTCAGTTTGTATTGGAATTAAACCAAACTCTTTAACAATCCTCTCAGGTTGAGCTGAGAACCGAGCCCAGAACTGCAGGCCTTTAAAGCACCGAGCACAACTAGGACCAGGAGAACGGAAAATAAGAGCTCAGCTTGAACTTCTGTTTCATAATGGAGAGAATCACATTCTTCACCTGCTGACAGACAGCTGTCATGATCCTCAGCTAGAAAACCACCAGAAAAAAACATCAACGTCTTTATTTAGTGTCCAAAACATTAGCGTGCTGCACTTCCTCTGAGTGGGTGGTGAGGAAGACCAGGTTTTCCTTCAGGATGAATGGTACTGGGTGACCCAGCCCCTCCCCTGTCACTGGCCTTTGTAGAGTACTAGTGGGGTCTTCAGGGGCGGATCAGGGGACAAGCCCACAATGGTTTGGAGCATGTGCTAAACTCCTGCAGCAAGATTGTGGTGATTTATGGAAACTGGAAACAGGCAGTGATTGTATAATGTTAAAGTAGGGGGGGTTGAAGCTTTTATGTAATGTGTTTAAATAATCTCAGCACCCGATAGTGACACATTGTTTTCTATTTGGGCCAAAAAACGTTGTGCAGTGCTTTAGCCAGTGGTGGGCGCCACTAACCAAAATATTAGCTTCACTAACGTCTAAACCGTTACACCGTTTTCTTAGTTCCGCTGACAATATAAAGCAATGAAGCTAAATCACAAAATAAAAAGCATTCATATCTACTGAGCCCGCGAGGGGATGGGGAATTTTCTTTTCTTTTTGTGTTCCCACGCAAAGTATTGCATTACCTCGCAATACCTTTTGCGTTCCCTCGCAAAAGTCGTTTATCACAGTTGTGCCTGCCGGTTTATAAACAAACTCACATGTTCACCATTAGCGAGTTAGCCTACTGCTTTAGAATGAATATATCACACAACCACGAATGGAAGTATGTCATATGCCGATATTTTAACAGTGCAGACACACAACATCGATGTCAATTTCACGAACTTGTGGCAACACATCCTGTTTTGGTAAACGGATATTTCAAAATTAAATTCTGATTTAATTCAGTTTATATACAAATCGAAACTTTTGCGTGGAAACGCAAAACAATATTGCGAGGTAACGCAAAGGTATTGCGAGGTAACGCAAAGGTATTGCGAGGTAACGCAAAGGTATTGCGAGGTAACGCAAAGGTATTGCGAGGTAACGCCAAGGTATTGCGAGGGAACGCCAAGGTATTGCGAGGGAACGCCAAGGTATTGCGAGGGAACGCCAAGGTATTGCGAGGGAACGCCAAGGTATTGCGAGGGAACGCCAAGGT